TAACACGAATTGGAAAAGGGTTAGATGGATCCATTGTGCTTCTGACGTATTCTTCACTCCTGTTGTGTACCAACAAAAAAATAAAAATAAATAAGAGAATTGTTGTAGTTTATAAGTTATACTTGCACCAGAGGGCGGGACAGATAAAATAGTATTTTATGTTTATAATCAATATTTAGCTTGCGTGTAATTAATAAAGTAACATGAATTTGAAGTAACAATAAATATAAAGACATTGCTTTAGTTTTCTGGCTTAGCAACACCCAGTAGTTAATATGCTGGGCTGTGGAGCTGAGGGTCCTTTTTCACGTCCCATTACAACAACCGTGCTCCGTACTATTGGCCGTGGGTGGCGGTTGGTTGGTTATGTGGTTGTTTGTTTGGTTAGCTAAGCACAAAGCTTTACAATGGGCGATCTGTGTTCTTTCCAATCCACTGGTATCGAAACCCGATCAGTGACGGTTAAATCCATTATTCAATTTGATTAGAAGTAGCCCAAGAGTTGGTGGTGTATATTGTTGCCCAACTGCTTTTTCTCTAGTCTATCACTTCAAAATTAGGGACAGCTCGTGCAGAATAATCGTATGGTCAATTAATTAGTTTTATATCATTCAAACTTCTCTTTCGTGAGAACATCTCAACTTCAAAAAATGTGGCCATCACGAGTTGGTTTCAGAATTTCGCCCAAAGTAACACTAGGGGCTACCTGCAAATAGCCATTCCTAAACTATTTAGAGCCTCGCAGAAATATAAATTGACCAATTGAATGGCCCTTTATTAGAAGTTTAAAATATTCATGAATTTTACCATTTTTTTCTTTATTAAAATCTAAATAAACGCACACTCGTGCAGCATTAAAGGTATTGTAAACTTCGGCTGTTAAAGATGAATTTAATGTGGCCACTGAAATAAAGCATTTTAAAATAACCGAAAAGATAAGTTAATACTCAGATGATAAATTAAAGTGTTAAGGGAGCGGTGACATCCAAAAGTCTGGTATTGTTCATTTTTATGTATATCGCACTTAGTTGTCAGCTTTAAGCTTAGGTATTATTTTAATTTAAAAAAAAAAGGCTTTTGTTTGTTGTTGGATTTCGCATAAAGACTTCACGAGGGCTAGGAAAACCATGTATGTTCAATCTAACATTGTACTGCACGTGCAATCTCGAATAAGCGAAGTTTGGTCCAATCACCAATGATAACCATTAAAAGCAAATTTATTATCGTTCTACTAAGATAGCACAGTAATTTACCAATGACTTATAGCCAGATACACGACATGAAACGACTCTGTTTCAATTACCTATATGCAGTGTGCGCAAATTATGCTATAAACTTTGAATATTCTATACGATAAAAAAAGAAACATTCGGAGAATCAAATAGTACAGTTAGGTAATGATCTAATCACCATAAAACTTTTAGTAAATGAGTTTATTGAATGAATAATAAGTTTATTATCTTTAATCATTTTGAGGATCAAAATTACTTCCAATGGTCTTTCTGTTTTCATGCTGGATATTTATTCGTTTGTGTATCTACCGTTAGGTGTCACTTAGCCAATCTATCTAGCTGTCTCCGTATTTTTAACTTTCTATTAATTTATATTATCAAATTTGGTAAAACAAAACTGTTGACACTGAATACTTACAAAATGATGGTGCCAACTGCCACGCCAAGAATGATCAGGATGCTGAAAAGATGCGAAATTTCTGTTCAAAATTTTACATAAACGAATGCTATTAAATGCCTTTTTGTAATGTATAAACATCACGTAAGGGTTCACAAAGACGTAAATTCATTAACATTCGGAATTACATGAACTTTATTAAGTTTCGTTTTTTTGGGGGGGAGGAGGAGCATTATCTCCGATTCTAATATATGTTCGAAATAAGCGATCATTTTAGCAGTTATTTTCAATCACTGGCTGATAATAAGAATATTATTCCATTATCTCAAACACAAAACGCATATAGTACTTCGTTTGTCCTACGACAGTAAAATGGTTACGAAACACACTAATTTCAAATCTGCAATGTAAACGGAGTTTCGTTTTCTCCTCCTATTACACGCATTCTTCATTAGATTTAGTTAATCACTGGGTTTGTTAGTCTGTTCAATTCCACACAAGACTATCTGCGCTAGCTGCCCCTAATTTTAAAGTGTGGACTAGAGGAAAGACAGCTAGTCAACACCACCCGTTCCCCCAGTGGCATGTCTGCTGACTTGTACTGCTAGAAACCGGGTTTTGATACCTGTGGTGGGCAGAGCAGAGATAGCCCTTTGTGCATAATAACGAAACAATATCAACACCATAGCCAACTGATGGGCTAATCTGTTAACAACGATGAGTGAGATTGACCGTCACATTATAACGGCTGAAAGAGCGAGGGTGTTCGACGACGAGTTTCTATCTCGCGAACCGCAGGTTGCAAATCGAGCGCTCTAACGACAGGCCATGCCACACCCACCACCGGATTATAGCATATTTATTTCTCATAAACGACAACATATTAAGCTTAAATTTAAAAAAATCTCCTTTTGAATTATAAAACAATTATACGTACGGCGGTAGAAGAAATAAGAAAAAAGCCCTAGATGTAAAGTGAGGTACTAAGCTAGTCGATCCAGTACCACTAGAAAAAACAAAAAAAAAGTTCGTTACACATGAGAATCAAATTAATAAACATCAGTCGATATCAATTAAGTATTTTATGGTAACCATGATTTCATACCTTATGATTTTAACACTACAATAAATTTATAATACGAAACAGAACTGTTCTTGAGTTCGTGATCTCTTATTATTGAGGTTTTAAATTGTCCTTAAAAATTAACAACTATTAGTTTTTTAACCTTGGAAAGAAGATTATTTACAATGGCGTCATGGCATATGATACGTAATGATCCCTTGTTTACCTTCGAGATTTTAATCCTCTGTTGAGGCGTTAGGGTAGACTAAATCCTAAGCGACTTAATTATTAATTTTGTTTTATACCGATACGAATGTTTTATTTCTACAGGATACGTTCTCCTTTTTCTTTTGTTTTGTTGTATTTATTTATTCTGTATCAGCCACTCTTTTGTAATATTCATCTAGATTGCTTACCAAGTTTAAATTTTCCTTTTTTTTATCATGGATACTAATATTGATACATCATAGTAATATAATTTTCTGACGTAATTACGACTTTTGAAAATCAATATTTCCTTTTGTTGTTTTATGTGCAACATTTTGTGTACATGCTAGTCTAAACTCAAGTCAAAACTGGACGTATCGTTAATCCTGGATAATGTTTCACAAGTGGGCCTAGCAGGGTCTGGATCGCTTGACTTCCAATTTGCGGGTTGCAGGCTCGAATCCCGTCACCAAACACGGTCTCCCTTTCAACTGTTGGGGTGTTGTAACATGATGGTCAGTCCCACTTCTCTTCTTCAAAGAACAGACCAAGAGTCTCTAGTTTTCAAATTAGGGATGGCTAGCTCAGATAGTCCTCGAGTGGCTTTGTACGACTCCAACAATCAAACAATATTCCACAAAATCAATAAGTATATAAAACCAGAAATAACCATATGCGTGAAAATTACAAAGAATAACGTGGAATCTCTTGAACTTTGCCCTTGATTCCCCACTAGACAAAGGCACGTTAAGTTACATCCGATGTTTTAATAAAGGTTTAATATTTTAGTCTCTATTGTTATTTATGGGTAGAAGTTAGGGGAAGGGGGATTATGAAGATCAGCAGAGAGGTAGGTGACTGTAAACAGCAAAAGTTTGTTTTATACCCCATAAGCGTGTGGTCATTTTCGGTTCTTTCTAAGGCACTGGGTGGGATGTTAAACCCAGTTTCTGTCAAAACATCTTTAGTGACGTTAGCTGTATCTTTGTCAATAGAAGTAGAACAGACCTATTTAATCACACTGTTATTACTTAACAGTCTGGTTGTTAAGTATGCGTTATCGTTCTATTTCCACGGTTAAAAAGTGCAATGGAAAAAAGTAGATGCACGAGCCCCACACCAGAGTAGGCTCGTTTGATGGTATTATGTAGCTAACTGCGCTGCTAGCCGATGTTCTTACTTGGCAATGAGAACTCGTTTCTCAAGTTAATGATCCAAGCTGTCTTACTGATAGAGGCCAGAATCGGTTAGTGTAGGCAATTTAGCATCACTAATCATTCGCGTTACCCTTTTCACTACGCATGCGCTGAATATAGTTGTGATAATAAACTTGGCACCTTTTTGTCTTTGTCAGCATCTTGGGATTTTTTTTTTCTGTTTGAGGGCTACATAGTGCAATTCTAAATTAGATTAAAATAATCTAACAAGATAGGATTATTGGGAGTAACTTATACTTAATCAACAACAACAACAAAAAATGTATAGGAGGGGATGAGAATCTAATACATTCAAAAACTTTTACTATGTAAAAGTGAAAAAAATATAGGTGAAGTTCAGCACTTGAGAAAAAGCTGACCAGCAGTGTTTGTTGAGATAAAAGTGATACTATCCAGCAGGTCCAATTGGCGCCTTATTGACTGCGTTCATTCCACAACAGCTTTCTTGGAATATTAAGTTTTAGTTACTATGTAGTTTTTGAAGTTTATAGTTTTACATTGATATATATATGTCTTCTCTAAAGTAAAAATGCCCAATTTTTATCATATTTTGTACATAATATTTTTACACAGTGACTTTCTTTTAAAACAAATAACACAGTTTTTAACATGTTATGGACATCAACTATGAAGTTTTTTGGAATATAGTTTTTCCTTTTTCCAGAATTTAACATGTTATGGACATTATATTTTTACACTGTGACTTTTTTCTGTCATCAACTATCTAGTTTTTTTGGTATGTAGTTTTCCTTTTTCTAGAATTGTTCTTGAGTCAGCATACTCCCTCCATGACAGTGCCTTCTTCAGCAATCTAGGCACAATTTTGCTTTATGCTTTAGTGGTAAGTTTTATTTAAAACTCTGTATACAATTTTGCTTTATGCTTTGCTCGAGAGTATTAATTTAGAACTGTATACAATTTTACTTTAGCACTGGTGGGAGTTTTATTTAAAACTCTGTAATATTATTATTAGTGTATACAATTTTGCTTTATGCTTTAGTGGTAAGTTTTATTCAAAACTCTGTATACAATTTTGCTTTATGCTTTGCTCGAGAGTATTAATTTAGAACTGTATACAATTTTACTTTAGCTCTGGTGGGAGTTTTATTTAAAACTCTGTAATATTATTATTAGTGTATACAATTTTGCTTTATGCTTTAGTGGTAAGTTTTATTTAAAACTCTCTATACAATTTTGCTTTATGCTTTACTCGAGAGTATTAATTTAGAACTGTATACAATTTTACTTTAGCTCTGGTGGGAGTTTTATTTAAAACTCTATAATATTATTATTATTATATACAATTTCGCTTTATGCTTTGGTGGTAAGTTTTAATTCAGAACGCTCTGCTGAATCCTCCTTATAATTATGCAAATTGTGTTCAGAAATACTGCAAGTACATTTTTAAGTTTTTAAATGATGCAAATAAATCTTATTGAAATGGTAACCAATATTTGTGCAACCGAAAAGAATTAAACAGATGTATCTTTATAACGTTCATGGTATTCTCAAACTGAATTTTTATTAATGAGACACAAATGTTTATGAAGCCTGTTTTGGCTATTAAATCTACTAATGCAAGTCTGATCAATGAAAACACATAATGAGATTCTAACTGTTCCTCCTTCTAGAGAAGTTAAATTATAGTGCAGTAAGAATCTACAATGTTTTGAATGATACATCTATACTTTTTGTTAACTGTCAACAGATGGCAGTATCTGACTGCTCATCATTGGCTTGGTTCTGTTTGTTTGTATTTTATGACACTTGTAGAACGTACATGTATGTTTGAGTTTTTGGTAATATAACTTACATTTTGTTTCATTTTTATACAGGGTACCTTACTAAACTGCTTCACCATAGGTAAGCTAAATTAATTGTTAATCACCCAAATCATACCTTATTATTTTAATTTGAATTATGAAAATATTTGAGGTGATTTCCCTTAACAGATAATGTTTCTACACCATAAAGCTGGAAGATACACATCTTAATGTTTCATATTCATATTTTCTTCTGATTAGGTAGTTTTAGAAATGTGATAAATGGTTGAACATGAACTTTTAATTTTTTATTGGAGAGAAAAAGTATCTATCCATCTGTCTTTCTGGTTTTTTATAATCCTGTCCATCCGTCTGCGTTTTCTTTCTATTGTCCGTACCTCTGTTATTTGTTTGCTCTTTGTCTTTGTACTGCTTGTTATTTTCTGTTTAATCTGTCTTTTTGTAGTTATTTTGTTCGCTGTCTGTTTTTCTGCCACCTTTTTGCTTCTTGTCAGTCTGTCTTCTCTCTTCCTACTGATTGTCATTCTATTTGCTCTCAGTCTTTCTGCTGTTTTTTAGTTTGCTGTCTGCTCTTTTTTATGTTGTTGTTTTGTTCTGTCTTTCTTTTTGCTGCCATCTCTCTGTCTTTCTACTATTCGACATTTTCTCTCTGCTCTTTTGTTTACTGTCTTTTTGCTTCTTGTAATTCTGTCTAGTGTTTTCTCTCTCTGCTCTTTTGTTTACTGTCTTTTTGCTGTTTGTCATTTGTCTGCTCTTTTTCTGTATACATGCACAAAATTTAATGAGATGATAAACACACCCTTACTCAAGATTTAGTTATTTATTTTTGATTTAGGACCAAGTCTTTATGGTCTTTCTGTGGCTGGGGCAATGGGACCAGTTAGCATTGGGATTATAGAGTGCCTTGTCTTTAGTGCATTGATTTCAGCTGTGGATCCAGTTGCTGTAAGTGCTCAAAAATAACCTTTCACATAACTTAAAAACATCATTTACAGCTCATAGATATAAGAAATATTCAAGTGATTAGCACTAATTTGCCAAAAGTTTAACAAGTAGTTTATTAATAATGCTGAATACAAAAGCTTTTGATTCATAATGTTAACATTTTTCTTTTCTTTGTTCAGGTCTTAGCAATATTTCAAGAAATTGGTATAAACAAGGTGTTGTACTTTCTTGTTTTTGGAGAATCTCTTTTAAATGGTAAGTATTATTCTTGTCATTATCCCAGTTTTGCATCTTCCATAATTAAAATAAAATGTAGTGTCTCTTACGTGTAAAACAAAGCAACTCCTAGCATATAAAGCTCCTTTTAACGACTAAAAATACAAGTTTTGGGGTCATGTAGATCTTTAAATTCTTTGGAACTAGTTAATCCTTGATCTTGTTAATCTTTTTGTCTATTGGTGTTTTTAAGTCACTTGGTGAAGTGAGAAAAAATAACAAAGACAATTGTACATTTCATCAGGCATTTACTAATGCACACTCATTATTAATGCAGTAATGTTTATTCAGTTAATAAATTGCCGGTTGAAGTTAGCAAACCCTCAGTGTTGTCATTTAAATTTCTTAATTTACATCACAATCATTTTGTTCTAAATGTTACTCTGTAAAAATTTCTGTATGGTTGAGCTGGAAAATGTTTGTATTACTAAATTTAGTAAGTACAAAGTAGCCCTAATGTGTATATTAAGTATATTTGTCATGTTTTTTTTAAAAAAATTGGTATTTTATGGCTTACATACCTGCCAACTTTCATAAATTGTTCTCCTCTTCCTGAGATCCCAAATTGGAGTGTAAAGAATGATCATTTTCTCAGATACTTGTAATTCGTCACACTATATCCAAATCTGTGTCATCAGAATATATTTTATCCACACTTACTGACTTGCTAAAATTTTTGTAGTTTTCAAACAGATATACTTTAACAAAAAAAAAACATTTTCAGGAACAAAAAGAATGTCTAAAGAAACTATAAAAAAATCCCTAATATGTGGTTAGTTCCTAAGTGTGGTAAAGTACAGATCAGAATCCTTTGTTCACCCATATAGTCCTTGTAAAATTGTCATATAGAAGTCCTAGAGGATTTTTTTAGTACTATTTTACAGTACTCATGTATAAAATTATTCTATATATTACCTGCACAATATCCTATAGGTCTCTGTAGTACTGGTTGTACAGTACTCTCTCTCTCACTCACACACACACACACACACACACACACACACACACACACACACACACACACACACACACACAC